CCTTTCTTCCTAGGGCTAAGAGAAAGTGACTGGCCCAAAATCCACCCAGCTGGTTTTGAGCCTAAGGCAGGATTAGAACTCATATTCTCCCAATTTCTAGCCTGGCAGCTTAAACACTACACCAAATTAGCTCTCAAGGTGGTTAGCTAGTGAACATTTCTGCTGCCCATATGAATCAGAGCATAGCCATGCCTCACTTTTTAAACAATAGAAGTAAACATATGCAACATGTATCGGCTTTGGCAATAAATGTAAAGTTAAGTAGACAATATGCAAAGCTGAGATTCAAAGATTCTGTTGTCATCCAATTTTACTATCCAGCCTACAAGATCTCCCTTGCATTTCATCTCTGTGAATATTCTGATCAAAACAGGAGTAGAGTGCAATACACTCCCTTGCCTTTGTTTAAAGAAAACAGTGACAGCCCTTTTTAACAGTCCACATGGGATACTTACCCGTCTGCCCTACATTCATCATGCTGTACATTGTGTACATGTTGCAGATTTGTCGGTACTGCTCATCGGAGCCTTCCTCGGGTGCATCTTCCTCTTCATCTTCTTCATTATGATAGGAACTGGGGCTGTCACTGGTGTAAGCACTGGAGGTGCCAGGGCTTGTCTGGTCTGAGGTACTGGGGCCGCTGACCACGCCTGCCCCTCCACCTCCCCCCGTTAGTGCTGCCTGCTGTTGTTGCTGCTGCTGAACCTGTTGCTGTTGTTGCTGCTGGACCTGTTGTTGTTGTTGTTGCACTTGCTGCTGAACCTGCCGGTTTCCCCCGCTCAACTCCTGCTGGGAGGAGATCTTGGCCATTTTGCGGCTGCCATTACTGCCGCCACTATTCCCTTCCTTCTGGTTGTTTTCCCAGAGCCGCTTAACCACAAATGTGCATTGGACAGAGTCTGAGTCCTGTTGCTCTGTCTTTACACGAGAGACCAGGGGTAAGGGCGTATTGCCGGAAGGCCAGGTGGATGTCTGTGCCACAGGGCTCTGTGGCTCAGAAGAAGGTGCCTCCTCGGTGTGCAGGCCTTGCGAGTCACAGCTGGGTGAGCTGACCTTCAGGAAGAACTCAGTCCCCTTTTCCATAATCTCCTGGATCTGCAGGAATCCTGCTGTGTACATGAGCAGAAACTGATCACCCACATTCATGCTTAGGCGACCAGTGTAGCAGAAACTAAGGATCTGCTGAAAGGATTGAGGTTGCACCGCAGCAGGAAGCTCCACCACAGTGCTCTTGCTGTTGTTGAAAAGGTCCCGGAAGTAGCAGCTGCTTGCAGCCAGCACAGCTCGGTGTGCCTTGAAAGCATGGCCTTTCACCACCACTGAGACATCACAATACAGCCCCTGTAACCGCTGCTCGTTCAGGCATTCCAAGATGCTATTACCAAAGTTGGGGATCTCCATCTGGAGAAATTGAGCCATCCTCCTCTTCTTCTCCTCCTCACCCAGATGGGTACGCTGGAAAAAAAGAATAAGGAGCCAGAGAAGTTAAATGTTGAATGGACATGGAAAAAGAGCAAAGGAGGGAGACTGGGCCAAAGAGAGAGAGATCAGCCAGAAGTGGGCAATGTTTTGGCAGCCTCGGGCTACCCTTTGTAAAAAAAAAAAAAAGCTGAGGACTACGGTGGACAAGGCCTTGAAGTGGTGAGGTCATGCAAACAGAAGAAGTAGGGTTTGATAGAGCATTTTTAAAAGGTGCTTTTAAATGTTTAAATCAATCTGACAGCTTATACCTCTTTCTTTGGTTTTCTGTTCTTCTTTCTTTCCATCTCCACAATTTGATACTTAGCTGCCAAATTTTGATAGTGTGATCTCCAGGGCCTCTGTAGACCACAAAAAAAGGGGTTCATAGGGCATATGAACCCTAGGACCACACCTTCCATTAGGGAGGTAGCAGAAATGAAGTAGTCCATGCAATCAACCATTTTATATGCCCACTCTGGAAATGGAAGTGTCAGCTTAAGGTCTTAGTTCTTCCTCCAGTTTTCAATCATCAAAAGCACTAATTCATTCATTTAAAGACTTTGAGTATCATATAAACCCAAACCTTTGTCAAAACGTAATTAGGCTCTGCTTTAACTAAACTTGTACCCAAGGTTGGCATCCATTTACTTACCTTGTTCATATCCATAGGAGAGTTAATTTGAGATTAGCCTGTATTCCTAGCCATCAGCAAAGAGATGGGAAGTCTAGAGCAACTGTAAAATGAAGCTGTTATATCTGTATCATAGCTCTTCCACCTGGCCTTCTGAATAAGCATGGCTGGATGGTGATGAAACGGGGAAGAGAAGAGAAATGGGGGAAGACCACGACACATTTTCCCTTCTTACTGTAAGAAGCAAACAAACCAGAAGGTGATAGGATGTCAGCCAGCACAAAATGAGCCAAGATGCTCTCAAAAGATGGCTGCAAACTATATAGTTAAGGCAACTATCCATTGGTCATCTGGGGCCAAAGCACTAAGTAAACCATTTGGCCTAATGAGTGCCAGACTGAGTGAGGAACATTGAACAAAGATGGCCAAAATAATTTCACCTCCAATTATACACAGACACATACACACACAATCTCCTTTATAAACTATTTAAATTGTAGCTTTCTCCCCTTTTTAGGACTCTGTAATCCCCTGCTTCAGAGTGGGGTCGAGGTGACTGAGTGGTGCTGAGCGTTTACTGGCTGGGTGCCCTTCCTGATGCCTAAGCAGAATTCGCAGCAGATATTTTCTCTTTGCGGCCTGAGAAAGCAACATCTGTCACTGCCTAGGATTGAATTCACAACCTTCCGAGTAGGTGAGCGTCTTCACCTCTATCCCACCATGCTGCTCTGCTTTATTAGTAGCTTTTATTTTGACCTTAGGGAATTATTTAACAAATATTATAAAGAAATTAATGCATAAATAATAAAAGAACTACACTGGATTTGTCTGAAAGCATAAAATTTAAAATGGTTCCAATATCTGCCATGCTGTGGGCAAATTTTAGACTTCCATGGCAATTAAAGCAACTAGAAATAAATAGTATTTGTAATCCATTCTTATTATGTGATTTCCCTCTTTTTATTGTATTCTGGCCATTTAAACAGAGAGCAGCATATGAAACTTCACAGCTCAAGTTCCTTCTTTTGATATTAATGAACAGTGCAGGAGTTATGGAAAATGGAAAGATTTAAGTGTAGCTTCTTATTAATCTTGGTTAAAAACAATCCAATGTGACAGCACTAGGATTGTGCTGAAATAAATATGGCAGCGTTGCCACTGTAAAATAGCCATGCATAATAAACAGGTTGTAATCCAGCAGCAATGGTGATCTGCAAACCCAGTGAAGCTTTCTACCTATTACCTCCAGAAAGGAACAGGCTCTTATGAGCATATCGATCTTCCCTGATAATAGCTCAGGAAATTCTAAATCATGGCACTGTCTTTTTAGGGCAAACAATATGTGTGTCAGAGATAAGATACACCATGAATGTAAATGAAAGCTTGGGCTAAAACAGACAAAATGGTTTATTCCCACACACCACTTGCAACTGGAGGGCAGATTAATGCTGGGTGGAATATTAAATATCAAAAAAATTAATGGTGGTTGTTCTTGTCCATTATTCTTTTACTAGAGAGACACTATGACCCAAAGGTTTCCTGCTGCAAATCACACAGAAGAGAGAAATTATTCTGTAAGGAATGACAATGCAGCTGAGGACACAGAATAGGTACACAATGGGCTGTTGCTTTTAAAAATTCCCAATTCTACAAAAGGCTTGGGTGTGAAACAGTGCTTTACAGTTATTTGGAGATGGTTGGAGCAGAACAATACAACAAGATAATCCTCCCTACAGAGAGTTTATTCAGAACGTTGGCACTGGAAGTGACTAAGATTTCTGCTCCATGTTCAGATAGCATCAGGTAAATGCCTCCCTCCTTCCCCCAAAGCTTTAAAACCGCTAGCAATTTTTGGAGGAAGATATAAAGAGGGAGGAAAAAAAATGTTTATGCAGCTTCTTACAAAGCGGTACTGAAAGATCCTCAATATGAATTTGTAATGGAATAGACTTTCAGCTCTTTTCAATGGAACATTTATCAGAATGAGACAAAACATTCACACATTTTGAATGCTGAGCATTCCATTTCTTAAAAATTCAATTTTAATTTAGTGTAGTAAAAGTTTCTGAGATGACAATTTGCTGAGAATTTCATCATCTTTTTAAGAAAATGCAGGACACCCACCAGAAGCATAAGCATATTCTGCAAATAGAAGATCCTGACAACCATTTGGTAAACTTCTGGTCTTTATCCTTTTTTTTTTAACCTAATCAAGCACAGATACAAATATCTAATAATAAACAAAGATGTGTATAAAGGCTGAGGACTACATATGAGGTGAAAGGCAAGACTGCCATTCCAAAAGTATCTTTGTGCTGTTTCTAAGATAGGAGAAAAATCTCAGTGGGAAGGAGGGAAATTGAGGATGATTCGCAGCATTAAGTCAATCTTTTCTTGGGCACCATAATTGGAAGTGTGTCACTGTCTTAGAAGCCTTCCACTGTGAAAAGGCAACCGTGAATCCTGATTATTATTACATTACAAACGATCCTTATTTACACCTATGTTAATCATGACAGCATTTGTTGAGGTACTAATAATATTAGTGTATTGTTAACCTGATTTTTATATAGAGTTTTAAAAATTATTTTATCGTGAATGTTTGATTTTCAATTACCAAGACAGCATGAACATGTTCTTCTTTTAATACTATCATTAAAGATATCCACAAAAGGACACAGAAACTATGGAGTACTTTCGTTAAGGAATCTCTTTACAGCTTGAACACTGAATACTTCAATCAAAGCTGACAAACTAGACTGTTTATTCTTAACTAAACACAATGAATTGGGTGACCAAAATTCCCATCTTGGTCAGAGATCTGACACTGTGCCATTTTTATACCACTTTCCATTGCACAAGTTCTAAGGAAAAATGTTTAAGGAGCCCAATGGAAAAAAGTATAGGCACACAGCAATTTTGTTACCTGAGTATTATATACTAGTTTATTTAATGGCCTATAGACTTATATGAAAAGACAGTATAGCCTTTAGAGCGCTGTCCGACAAAATTTTCTTGCTAAAGATGATTGTTCTGCTGAGACAAATATGATTATAACGGAAACAGCTGGGTGATAGAACCAAACCATTAAATAAAACAAAGATTCTGGGGTTTTTTTTGAGGGTGGGGTGGGGGGGTGGCAGAGATCCCTTCCAACCTGAGACATTGTTTTCTCATCATTGTAAAATGAAGCCAAGTAGTTAAGTGTTTCATCTTTCCTGCATCTGTTTTTATTAAGTTTAAACAGCATTTTCACTATGTCAGAAGACTAAGCACTTCAGCGATGCTACAATTCAGCTACTACTTGTATTCTTGCAGGAAGAAGAGTAAACTGGGTGGAGGACAATTAGTGCCAAGTCACAATAATATGCACATGGAAGGTGGCAAAACAGATTATATGTTATAAATTATTTTCTTGATCCTTGTTCCCTAATCCTGATCTTGTAAATCCACTGCTCTCTCAGAGTCCAACTAAATCAGTAAATATTTTGCTGTCTAAGAAGCTATACAGATAAAGTCTTTGGCTTAAAAACAATGCCTCAAGTTTCTACCCTAGACTGCTTGAAGTCTGAAGAAAAATAACTCTGTTTCTCCATGAATCATATGCACAGCCATGTAAATAATTACACATGTGGGAATACATGGAGTAAACAGCCATGAATTGCATAACATTAGATTTGAGATATTATTTAAAATTATGGGTATGCAAAACACTTCAAATGCAAAATGTCCCATTTTGAATTCCAACACTTTCAACTGAAAGAAGCTATTATTCTGAATTGAATACAATCACATTAGGCTTAAAATGGGGTGCTTTGAATTCAGTTCACAATTCAAAAAACTTTGGGTGCNGGGTCACCCTCGTCATATAGCTTCGGATGGCATCGGTTTCCAATCTGGTTGATGAGCTCTGCAGGCAGTGAAGCTAGGTCCTGCCGCACTCGTATCCGGTTGCGAGACTCTGACTGCACCTGATCTGGCAGTGCTTCTACTTTTTCTGCTGAAAAAGGAGGGGGGGGGGAGAAAGGGACAGGAGGAAAATTGGAGAAAGCGGTGAGCAGATATGAAATGAAGGTACCAAGGCTATTCTTCTCTTTGAAATGTTTAAACTCTGCAACTACATTTGCAACTCGCTCTTGCAGAGTATTCTTAAGCAAGTCATTCAAAGAGCTAAGAAATTACTGCATCCTTTAAAAAAATGGAATCACAACTACCCCTTCCTCTTCCAGGAACAGGATGTCTTTTAAGAGCTTATGTTTCAATCCCCTTTCCATAAAATATTGTAGTCTGGCTGTATTCTCTCATTAAAACAAGGAAGGCAAATATGTGCAATGCTGGCAGGTGGAGAAAATTCACTACCATT